AATCTACCCAAAAATACAGTTGAAAAACTTTTTATAAAATGTACTACAGTATTGTACACTAATGTACTACATTTTTTATATCCTGAGCAAAATATATGACGCTTATATTCAAATTATTCTCTGTCTTGCAAGGATTTCAGCAATGCAGGTTATATAACCTAACTTTAGTCTGAGATATTATATAAAATAAACATAAAGAAATCACCAATCTTTTGTCTGGGAGGGAGGGGGCAGGAGGTGAGGTGACAGAATATCTGCCGTTTGTTTATTTATTTGAGATAAGATTTGACAGTTGGCGCTGAAGGCCTGCCTGCATGTTTATTTATCATTACTTAAGAGTGACTAAGCTCTTCTCATAATTTGCCACCCAAATGACCTGGTTGAATATAACTTACATTGGTGGGATTCTTGTAAGATAGTAATTTATTTGAATACCTGTATAAACAAGCTATATTTGCAATAGACATAACAATTTTAGTACCATAATCATTTAGTACATGTACAATACAGGTTTGCACTTAGGTCCATTGTTACCGCACAATATTGACTAAATTCACTAGATAACGTATGTCTGGCAGCACAATCTATAAGAATACGCAATGCATACGTGACTGTGCCCGCTCTAGGGCCATTTAGGTTCGCTAGGTCCCATTATTTGAATGTTTTTTTTTCAATTTAAATTTTAATTGTTTAGTATTCCTTGATAGAGGAAGCGGGATCCTAGTGCTGTCACTTGGTACCCCTGTACCATAACACCAGAAGCAACTGGCCAGTGTCATAAGTATATACAATACAGTACAGTCATCCCTTGGTTATAGCGCCTAATTGGGACCCCGCCAATAACGAAAGTACAGAACCTATGGGATTTATTCTAATTGGTTCCAGGCACCCAAGACCAAACCCCAAGTTTCCCATTTTACGGCCATTTATACCCACAAAATATACAGTCATGCGCGGTTAACGTCCTGGAAACGTGACGTTAACCGAAATGGACATTGTCCTATCATCACATAAACTTTTTATTTATACTTACGTGTATGTGGAATACTATATATGTACATATGTTAGTGACCCCTCGGTTAATGAACTCAATCCGTTCCAGAAGGTCGTTCGTTAACCGAAAAGTTCGTTAACCGAAACCATCGTTTCAATGGGTTTTTGGGTAATTGGTTCCAGCTCACTGAAAATTTCCTAAATTCAACAAAAATGGTAGAAAAGTTCACTTACTTTGAGGTGTGTTTGTAGAAGGCTCCTGGATGATGATGATGATGATGATGATGATGATGATGATGATGATGGGATTTAGAATGGGGGTGGAGGAGAAGGAAGAAGAGAAGGCATTGGGGTGGAAGAGAAGTCACCCCTTGGCGCCATTTCACCCATAAAATTTTAGCCTTGGTGTAATTCAAGATTATTTTCTTTAAATCAACACTGCACCGCGATTATATATTGTCAATGGTGTTATATTTCAAATGACCACACCGCTTGGAAACACAGAAAAAGCGCTTAGTTGAAGAGAGTCTCAAGCAAGATGTTACCTAGTGAAAACAGAGAGAGACTAACTCCTGTTTGCTGTGTTAAGAGGCTGGATGCCGCACATTAAACTAGTCACTTTACCTTCAGTTATGTTCAATAATTGTTAAAATGACTAAAAAATTGAATATTAAACTTTTAAAATTATTGAATAGTATAAACTTCTTGATATTTACTAAAATAGTAAGGAATTTAAGCCCTAGAACCGATTAATGTGTTGGTGGACTGATACTAAAGCTGGTTGCCTGGTCAGTGCAAGCGAAAACATGTTGAGGTCGGTCGTAAGAAATCTTGCTAACCGGTTTCGTTCAAGTAACTCAATTGAAGATCCTTATGGAAGGCAGTTCGTTAACCTAAATTTCGCTAACCGGTATGCTCGTTAAACCCAGGGGTCACTGTACACTTTTACTCTTAAATCGCTACTGTAATGTGATACAGGTGATTACCTTTTATCTCTTGTGCAAAATACGTGACGTTTATATTAAAATTATTCACTGTTTTACAAGGATTCCAGCAACGCCGGGCAGATGGGGGAGAGGGAGGGAGCGAGCGAGCGAGGGGGCGTGGGGGGAGGGGAGGTAGTACGTTTGACAGTTGGCATAGGCCCAGGTCTAACGCATGTATATTTATCAGTTCTTAAGTGACTAAGCTTCTCCCTTATAAAAAGCTAGTGAAATGACCTGGGTGAATATAATTAACATTGCTGGGATTCCTGTAACATACTGATTAATTTGAATATAAACATGCTCTAATTTGCACTAGACAAAACAATTTTAGTACCGTAATCAAATAAGTACATGTGCACTCCAGCTTTGCACTAAGGTCATTTATTTCTGTTAAGTTTCTTTTAGTATGGTGTGTGCATGTAAATGGATGAAAATAAATGAAGAAATCTATGTAAATCTACCCAAAAATACAGTTGAAAAACTTTTTATAAAATGTACTACAGTACTGTACACTAATGTACAAAATTTTTTATCTCTTGAGCAAAATATATGACGTTTATATTCAAATTATTGGCTGTCTTGCAAGGATTCCAGCAATGCAAATTATAATCTCCTAACTTTAGTCTGAGATATTATATAAGATAAAAACTGTAAGCCTTAAACCCTGGCTGGGGGAGAGGGACGGAGCCAGTGTGCCACCCAGCTTAGGTTGGGGAGTTGAGGTGATAAGTTTTGGAGCATGGTCTCGACGTTTATTTAACAGTCCTACTAAGCTTCTAAACATTTTTAAAAATGCCATTGATATGACTTCCTAGAGAATATAATTAATATAGCTGATCCTTGTGATACTGATTTATTTTGAACAATATTAACATGTTTTAATTTGCACTAGATATGCACAATTTTTAGTAATCGTGAACAAATTAGTACATGTGCACTCCAGCTTCTTGCACTAAGATCATTTCTTTTATTTTACGCTTTTTAGTAGTGGTGGTGTGTGCATGTAAATGGATGAAAATAAATGAAGAAATTTTTGTAAATCTACCCAAAATACAGTTAGTAACTTAAGTAAAATGTACTACAGTACTGTATTAATTAATGTAACATTTTTTATATCTTGAGCAAAATATATATGACGCTATATTCAACACCCTATCTCTGTCTTGGGTAAGGATTTCAGCAATGCAAGTTATATTAATTAACTTAGTCTTATATTATATAAAATAAAACATAAAGAAATACCAAATCTTTTATCTTGGAACACGAGATGGTGGGAAGATGGTGGTGGGTGGGGGGAGGTGAGGAAAGAATATCTGGTGTTTGTTTGTTTATTTATTTGATATAAGATTTGACAGTTGGCGCTTGAAGGCCTGCCTTGTTTATTTATCATTACTTAAGAGTGACTAAGCTCTTTCTCATATAATTTTCACCCAAACTTAATTTGGAGGAATATAACTTCCATTGGAGGGATTCTTGTAAGATAGTAATTTATTTGAATTGTTTTTTTCAATTTAAATTTTAATTGTTTATTCCTTGATAGAGGAAGCGGATCCTAGTGTTGTCATTTGGTACCCCTGTACCATAACACCAGAAGCAACCTGGCCAGTGTCACAAGTATATTGCAGTACAGTACAGTCATCCCTTGGTTATTCACTGGGGACCCTACTGACAATGGCGCTGTGAACCTTATGGGATTTATTCTAACTGCCTGTGTACCCAAGCACCCAACCCCAAGTTTCCCATTTCCACGCACTATTTAGAATCACTCAAATATATATATATAATGTTTTGTAAAATATCATAAACACACATAGGCATGGCTAGGTTTAGGCTGTGCGATGAAAAGGGCACGCTTTTAATACTGAGTCCACAAAACATGTAGCTATGCTTTTTTTATTTGGTCCTCACATACGGTCCGCTTCTCACATCAGGACGTTTCTGAGTCCTCCTCAAGGCTTTCTCTTAATCTTAGAGTGCACCAGAAACCTTACTATTTTAGTAATGCCACAGAATTGAATTAGAACCCCACTGCAACTGGGGTTGCAATTGTTGAGTAAATTTAGATATGCCCTGATTACAGCAAATGTGTTATTGTCAATTTGTAGGTGAAAAAGATTTATCCTCACGATGTAGGTTAACATTACACTTGGAGGCAAATGTTTAAAAATAGCCGCAGCTGTTATCTTTAACAAGCAATATCTGGAACGTATGGAGTAATCATCGTGGTTCCATCAGGGTCGTGGAGTGGGAAAGGTCCAGCAGGCGCCACGGATATTTTTTGGGGGCACGGACGAGGCGCGCATCGGACGCTTGTTCAGTCGGACGCTAACCGGCCGGAGAGGGTTTTGAGAATTGCAATTAAATGACCGGTAGCGACGTGTCCTCCTAATATTACATATTAGATAATTATTAGATGTTTTAATTGCCTGTATGTTGGCCTGGCGAGTTATTTCTAGGCATTAACATACCCAGGTATAAGCTAGGCTTCGCATTTTGGATTGAACAAAAATAATACATATAAAATTTAAAATGAAATACAGTACAGTAAAAGTAATCAATAATTAAGAATGGATACAGTGTGATTGTGCACTTACCTTTAATGTAGTCAGCTGAATGCACATGGGGCCCCCATAATCTTCTATTTTCATGTATATATGGAGACTATATTAATTGGATGAAGCAGAGGTATCAGGGCTGGGTGGGTCATCAATGTCGCTTTCTTTAGACAGGTTTATGTACAGGGGAAACTTGCTGGTTGAAGGTATTGGATCATCTTGAGGGAGTGAAGAGGCATGGTTGAAGGTATTGGATCATCTTGAGGGAGTGAAGAGGCATGGTTGAAGGTATTGGATCATCTTGAGGGAGTGAAGAGGCATCACTGGTGGGGTGTGAGGAGACAGCACTGGGGGACTTCTTAAAATAGATGTCCAATTTAGACTGCACAGTTTGTTTTTTCTTTTCATTATGTATGTTTCTGAGTGTATCATGTGAACAATGTATTTTCTTTTCCTTCAACAACAGCTTGTGTGTGGTAGTGCAGTGGTGTCACAACTTGACCAGCAAGTTATTAATAAAGTATTTGGTGATCACTTGAATGATCAGATTTTTCGAATCCCTTCAAGAGCAAAGGATAAATTTATTCAAGACCATTCATATAACCAACTTGAAACATCACTTGGAGACCAGCTGTCCTCAGATGCTTCAAAAACAATCTTCCTCCATTCTCTATCCTGTAGTGACCTAACACTCAATCTCCAGCTCCCACCACAAAAGGCTGTAGGTATGATATTTTCATATCATGTTGTCAGTTTTTGTAAATTTGTAAGTAAAGCAGGTATATCTTTTGATCCCACCGTAGTTTGATAATCTAGATTTTAATTTTTGTCTTGAAAGTCAGTTTGTGTAAGTGCTGTTCATTATTATTTTTAAGGAAATGAATAAAGGCTTTAATACTCAGAAAGTAAGACAAATATTATAATACTGTACTGTAACAACTAATTTGTGTGAGCAGAAAGTGCGTGTGAGCAGGTAGAGACAAGGGAAGCAGAACTACTGGGAATGTATGATGGCCATCAGAGAGCACAGCAAACTCAGCAGATACTACTTGCTCTGGAGACATTCACTGAGACACCTTATGGTATATATATCAATCTTTAGTATTGTCTGTCAAGAAAAGGAGTATTGAACTGGCTGGTACTATCACCTTTAGCTCTTTCTCCCAGTTTCAGCTCTCTGGATTTCTAACATTCACACTAAAATGCATTCTCAAATGTTTCAGTGTACATTTATTACATACTGTTTTTCATATTTCCCTCTATTTTTATCTTTGTCTTGAAATTCTTTGTTTGAGTATGTTGTTCTATTGACAAGAACAGCACTTTTTAAAAAATAAATAATGCAGCCTTTCTTTAATGTAATACAGTACTGTTATTCCTTCTCTTCTTAAAAGAGGAAGTGTACAGTGTACATAGCTATACAGTATTACAGGTATCAGGTGTGTGTCACTGCTGCCTTGTACATCTCTGTTGCTTTTCAAGAAAAAAATTCCATTGGCTAAAGAGTTCAAAGAGATTCTGTATAGTTCATGGTGTATTTGACAAGTGTTTCTATGGGTGTGTCTGTTATTATTTACTTCTCTGTATTAGAGACACTTTAGTAAGTCTTAAACTATGTCTTAAAATTATGCAAAATAGACAGGCCTCACATGCAGTGCTCTAAACATTGGATTTTGGACAATTGCATTGCAATAAGATTCTTCTGCAACATAAGTTAGAAAGGGAAATTGATGATTATATATGAAGAATTATCAGAAGAGTTATTTTTAAAGATATATTCAGATTTATGAACCTTTAATACTATGAAAATTTATTTTCAAAATGTATGTAGACTTATACAGGGTATATGATAATTGCACTGTCCTGTACATTAGTGATGTTTAATAGTGGTATTTCTTGGTTGGCTTGGTTCACAGTACTTGTGCCAACATGGGCAGTACTAGGGATGATTGCTGAACTTCAGTTTACTCTGCGTGGACGGGTAACAGAGTTGGCAGCACAGGTGACGAGAGAGTTTGACTTTGAAACACAAGCTTGGCAGCAAGAGGCAGAATCTTGGGACTCTACACAAAATAATGCTCAGTATCAATTAAAACTTCTTGAACAGGTACAGTGTTTTTGTTATTTTTTTCATTTCTGTGATGAGATGGGAAAAGTATGTTTTGACATGAGCATTTACTTGAAGGGACTATTTATCAGGCAATGCGTGATACCAGTACTGAATTTCATAATCATTTTGCCTTGGAGGATCAAGTAAGAGTGACACAAAACCTTTTCTGAAAAAGAAAAAAAATTCTTGAAGATTCACATACAAGATTTTTTAACCCTATTGATGCTATTCTCTCACCGTATGCGGTAAACAATGCCAGTGCAATCACCGCATCATAAATAGTAATAACTTTTATTTTTGCCCATACAATAAATCTTATTGCCAAATAGACTCATCCAGTTTGATCAGCTGGTATTTATATTAGGGGGACAGAGACCTGAAATTTAAATTTTTGTTTTACCTGATAAAAAAGTAACCAGCCTGTTAAGATGATTCCATATATATGGGATCCTCGTTATAAGTGGTTAATTGGGGCCAGAAAAAAGCCGCTGTTAATGAAACCACTTGTAAAGGGGAATTAATTCTCATAAGAATTAATAGGAATAGGGTAAGTGTCACTCATAAAGTTTAATTTGATATCTTTTAACATTTTTATATATACCTTAGAATTTTTTTAAACATTTAATTACACATTATTTTATGAAATTATTTAAGTTTATAATTTATTTAAGGTACTTAAAGTCGTTTGGGGTCAGTGTATAGAAGCAGCACAAGCTACCAAACCACACACTCACATGCTTATTTCAGTGAAAGTGGTTCATTGAAACATGCTCACCACTTTTCTTTCAACATATAACTTCTAATTTCACGTCCATCCCATAGCTACTACGCTTCCTTTAAGCCACCACATCACCTTGCTTTTGTTTGGAACTGATGGCTACAAAAATAATCAACCAATGTCACAAAAGGCACAATGAAGTTAATAATTATAGTTCTTGGGGCACTTCAAAACAATACCTGTGGACACAGGCAACTGGTATTGAGCATGCATAGCACCGGCGAGAAGAATGAACTTTAAGAGAATGGGAGGTGGACACAAATTAGCGGAGTCTTCTTTGTGCGCGTTTACAGCTGATTCGCCAGGCAAGATGAAGGTAGCAATGTGTGTGATGGAGGGTGCAGGAGGGGGTTTTGAGAATTGCACTTAAATGGCAGGTAGCGACGTGTCCTAATATTACGTATTTAAGTAATTATTAGATGTTTTAATTGCCTGTATGTTGGCCTGGCGAGTTAATGCAAGGCATATACATACATAGGTATAAAGCTAGACGTTGCATTCTTGACTTTGATCACAAAAACTGGTTTTTAGAAAAAACGCTTATTTTTTTATTTTTTGGGCACATTCTGTATGAACGATTGTGTGTGCATTTTGTGAATTAATTACCCTGTCTTATTTCATATTTTGCTTGATTTCTAAACTGAAGATTCCTTTTACACGAACTGTTGTGAGAGGCCGGCAAGACAGGCCGCATCTCTTAGCCGGGACCTGCCTCACTGCTATCACTCGTCCCTTCTGTGAGTACGAAGGGAGTACGATTAATAATTAATATACTATATGTATACAGTGAACCCTCACTTTATGCGGTCAATTGAACCCACGGAGGAGGCCGAAACGCGTAAAGTGAACAACATAACATATGGGATTAAATGAAATAGAGACCGGCTGACCCCCAAACTCCACTTTTTCCGACACAATACCTATGTTCTAGTAAAAATAACATCTTAATTTTATGATGGTACATGCACACAATTAATATTTGAGAGAAATACAGTCGCCAAGTTAATGTCCATTCAAATAATGGACTCAACTCCCTCCCCCTCTTCTCACACTCACTGGCTCTTCCCTCTCTGAGAAATGTTTGGGGGAAACACTAGATTTTAAGGTATAGTAATAAATAATACCTCAAACTAAAGTTAGGATAATATAATTGACATTGCTGGATTCCTTGTAAGACCAGGAATATTTTGAATATAAATGTCATATATTTTGCACAAAAGATAACATATTTACTCAGAGTAAACAAAATACTTACATTAGATCTAAAATTTGTATGTCTAATGCAAGGAAGGAAGCATATTCCTTTAACACATAATATCTGACCAGTATGGGGAGGATCATCGTGTCTCCGTCAGGGGGTCGTGGAGTGGGCGTCCAGCAGGCGTCACCGATTTTTTTTTGGTGTGTGTGGGGGGGGGGGCACGGACGTATATGCAATCGGACGTTGTTCGGTCGGACGTTAACCGGCGCATGACTGAACAGTAGGAATTTTTTATGCTGTTCTCTCTGCATTACCGTGTGATCTGGGTATTTGAATTTATTCTGAAATGCACCGCTTCTTGTTAAGTGTTTTGCTTGCTGAATATCTTCCCATTTTTTATCCTCACTCACCAGTGTGATCCTGAGGGGGGCGAGGCTTGTCCTCCTGTTTTTGTCACAGCCTCCTCACATCCTGAAGGGGCTGACATTTTCAGAGCCTCTGTACAAATGCTCTCAAACTGCAACTTATCATGTCTTTTCTTTCTCTCAGCTTCCTCCAACTGGCTCTCAGGGACTCCAAACAATATTATGTTGTTCCTTCACTCAAAACATTCCCATTGTTCCTCCTCTCCCATATCAATAGGCCTGATAGTTGCCATCTCTTCAACACACTTCTGCAAAGTCTTTAGCTGCAGAAGGACCTGTTCAGATCCTGCATTATTCTCCGTCACCTTCTGTGGCCCTGCTAAAGCCTGAACATAACTCTTCTTCACTACTCCCTCCATTTTATCAGCTACTTCAGTCTTAGCAAGGATCTCTTTCCCAACTTGCTCTAGTTTGGCAACCAGCAGGGCTCCAGCTTCATCTTTTTTCCTCCCTTATGATGATCTGCAATAGCCTCGTTTACTTCGGATTTGCGGTCAAGGCAGTACAACAGCATTTTTGGTTTACCGCATTCTGTATCATCCTAAATGTTAATGTGGACAGACCCACACAATACGTCCTAGACGTCCCATTACAGTAATTGCATGTTAGCAAACGACTTGGTAACCTTGGAATTTTAACCCCTGATTCCCCACATCTATACATGTCCTGTTACAAACTATCTCCTTCCTTTTTCGTACAGTACTTACTTCTCTGGGACACGTAGTGCTTGACAGGTGTCACCGTTGTCAATCCTGGGGGAATGGGGGGTGAGGGGAGCTAGCGGGGGAAATGTCCAGACTCTGTAAGAATCTTCTTAGTCTTAAGCCCAGTTTATAATGTGATATTATTCTACTGACAGTTTAATAATAATAATAATACAGTTGTACCCCACTTAGCGGTCAATTGAACCCAGGGTCCGGGCAAGGTAATCATGAATTAGTGAACAACAGAACATATAGGATTAATTTCAATGAAAACGGCCCATTTTGACTCCACTTTTGAAGGCACATACCTATGTTGTAGTAAAAATAACATCTTAATTTTATGATGGTACATGCACTGAGTGTCTTAAGAGAAATAGAGAAATACAGTCGCCAAGTTAATGTCCATTCAAATAATGGACTCAACTCCCTCCCCCTCTCACACTACACAGCCGGCTAACAGATGGTCAGTCGGTCCCTCCCTCCCCCCCTCCACCCCCCACCAACCGTCCCAAGGAGATGTGTGGGATAACCTCAAACTAAAGTTAGGAAAATATAATTGACATTGCTGGATTCCTTGTAAGACCAGGAATATTTTGAATATAAATGTCATATATTTTGCACAAAAGATAACATAGTTACCTAGAGAAAAATTTTTATCTAAAAATTGTAAGTTTAAAGCAAAATATATGATGTTTATATTCAAAATGATCACCAAATTATAAGAATTCCAGCAATGTAAATTATATTCTGACCGGGTAATTTGTATGAATTTTATGAGCTAAAACAAATATCTTCAGTTAATAAAAAAAAAAATAATCTTCACTACACTATCTGTCAATCAAAGTACCCCACCTTGCCTCCCCCCCTCTTCCAACCCTTCCCCCCACCCCCCACCAATCCTCCTTTCCAGAGTTTTTAACATTTAGTATTAAATAATACCTCAGATTAAAGTTAGGATAATATAATTGACATTGCTGGATTCCTTGTAAGACCAGGAATATTTTGAATATAAATGTCATATATTTTGGACAAAAGATACCATAGTTACCTAGAGAAAAATTTTTATCTAAAAATTGTTAGTTTAAAGCAAAATATATGATGTTTATATTCAAAATGATCGCCAAATTATAAGAATTCCAGCAATGTAAATTATATTCTGACCGGGTAATTTGTATGAATTTTATGAGCTAAAACAAATATCTTCAGTTAATAAAAAAAAATAATAATTCTTCACAGGGTAACAGATGGTCGGTCGGTCCCTCCCTCCCCCCCACCCCCCACCAACCGTCCCAAGGAGATGTGTGGGATAACCACTAAATTTTAATAAAGAATACCTCAAACTAAAGTTAGGATAATATAATTGACATTGCTGGATTCCTTGTAAGACCAGGAATATTTTGAATATAAATGTCATATATTTTGCACAGATACCATAGTTACCTAGAGAAAAATTTTTATCTAAAAATTGTAAGTTTAAAGCAAAATATATGATGTTTATATTCAAAATGATCACCAAATTATAAGAATTCCAGCAATGTAAATTATATTCTGGCCTGGTAATTTGTATGAATTTTATGAGCTAAAACAGGCAGTCAGGCAGGGTGGCGGGTGGGGCAAATCTAAAAATAGCGTCTCGGACACTCACCGCATATATGTGGAAAAAATCCGCGTTAAGTGAAAGTTCAGCTTTGGCAACGCCAGATATGCAAACGCCATATGAAACCAAGTAGCGGGTAAAACTGTAATTATTATTACTATGATAATTGCTTTGTGCCTTTCTGTCATGGCTCAAGTATCAAGGGCATTTTAAGGCCCCATGACTTAGCAGCATTCCCAATTGTAGGCCCTGTGTCTGGTAGTGGAGGGGGGGGATGATACCACCTTCGTAATCTTTCACTTTATTTTGACAAAGAAATTTACCCCTCGCTGGGATGTCTTCCTTTATAATCACATCTATTAATTGTAATCTAAGTTAACTAAGATGTGTTAGTGATCATGCCCTTGTAGCTGACTAATATTATTTAAAAAGAATCACTTAGCTGCTTTGCCGGTCTTGACCTCACTGGCACCCTCGTTCATCCAGTGTTGCCGTCCAAGACAGTTTGACTTGTTTTCTGTTGTTTTTTCCATTTTCCTCGACAAGTTGTTGGTATCTCTATGTGCTATCACAATGTACCCTGTATCTCCCTATGAATGGAGGATCATCTGCCCAATAACGGTCCTTTTGAAAATGCAGAAAAAAAATTTGTTTATGGCGACAATAATGCCATTCAAGACAGTTTATCTTGTTTTGTATTTTTTAACTAATAGTTACTTTATGTTCTGTCTACAAAATTTACACACACAAAAGAAAAACTTTCTTTGTGGCACTTCAATTTATTTTCAGCCCCCACCACAGTCACTGTTTTCACTCTGGACTGTCTTAGCTAAAGGCACAATACTACACTTTCTGATTGGCTTTTGGATGGACAATCACAGCCATGAACGCAACTCATTTAAAATGGTCTGAATAAATTTTGTCATATGACAATGATTTTGTGGTTGTTTACCTCCTGGCCTATTTCTATGGTCAGTAGAAAGTGTTTTTCAATATATGATCACGAGCAACATTAAAAATTCTGCATCGATTTGCTTTATGGGGACCTCGTTCATATCAGCGGTTGTTTGTAAGTCAGACATACATAATCCGGGTACCTCTTGTATTGATATGTATATTAGAGAACATTAGCTAACTACTTTATTTTACAGGCAGTTGTGGGTGGAGCAGTCCAACCTGCTCAGGCTCTTTTGATATTAATGGATCTTGTGCGCAGCTTCATTCTACACCCTGATGTTACACTCTCTTCAGTGTCTCAGTATGAACAGGGCACTAAACAAACTTCTCAAGAAAACGCAATTAGTGTGAGGCTTGTCCGGGCAGTGATCCTCGGTGTGAAGCAGCTAGCAGAGGAGTGGAAGGAAAGACATTCTCACTTGCTGTCTTGGGTATGTTACTGCCTTATTGTTACAAAAGTTAAAAAAAATGTGGAAATCTCATAAAAACCATAATATAAACAATTGTGTTATCTTTAAGCCAAAATTCAAGAAATGTACAGGCAGACCCCTACTTACAAGGATTTTGTTTATAAAAATTACCAGTTACGATTCTGTGTAAAATTGTGCTTAATTCACTCTGACCTTTATTTCTTGTGAAGTCTCTCAGAAAAGGGAAGAAAATAACTTAACCAAAAGTAATAGTTTTCCAACATACATACTGTATTAAGAAATAAAAACCTAACTAAACCAAATCTAACCTAACAACCACACCTAACCTAGCCAAATCTGTAGACACAGGGATTATTGTATTGATCACAGGTTGCAGTTTTTCTAAGAATGCCAAACTTCACAAAAATGTCCACTGTTTCATCATTGTTTGAGTTGTGAACAGTATAACCTCAGATGTCCGCTATTTAACCCTCCGGAACTCTCAAGCAACTGGCATTTTTTGGGTGGGGTCATTCCCCAAAAAAGTAAAGTCTTGTCACATTTAAAAAATAAAGAAAATCAGTTTGAATTTGGTGCCGTTTCGCCCATGGTTCCATTTCTGGCCACTACAGGTGTTGCGTGTGTCCTCCATGTTGGCCAAACACACTAGGCCATTACAGTGCCCTTAACAGGGCCGGATTCAGGAGTGGGCAAAGTGGGCAGCTGCCCCACTTTGTCTTCTCATCTCTAGCTTCCTTGAGAACCGATCCATGGCAGTTGTTGTCGAGGGATCGAGTTCTCGCTCTTTCTCTACCAGTAGTGGCGTCCTACGGGGTTCTGTTCTTTCACCAACTCTCTTCCTTCTTTTTATCAATGATTTACTTCACACTACAACTAATTCTATCCATTCTTATGCTGATGATTCTACTCTTCACTCTTCCTCACATTTTCCCCTTCCTCCTAACTCTTCCTCACATTTTCCCCTTCCTCCTAACTCTCAAACTAGATCTGTTTCTAGAACTGAGATCATTACTTCTATCAATGCGGATCTGTGCAGCATCTCTGAATGGGGAGGTACAAACTTGGTTAAGTTCAATACAGTGAACCCTCACTTTACGCAGTCAATTGAATCCACGGCGGCCCGCGTAAAGTGAGAAACGCGTAAAGTGAACAACATAACATATGGGATTAATTGAAATAGAGACCGGGCCAACCCCCAAACTCCACTTTTTCCCGACACAATACGTATGTTTTAGTAAAAATAACATCTTAACTTTATGATGGTATTCACACACACATAATATAGAAGGGAACAATCAATAAGATAGTAATATACTGTAGGTTAGGTTAGAAAAAAACAAGGTTAGGGTTAACACTTACGTTAGTAGAAAAGATGGGTCGGCGTACGGGAATGGAGGCTGGTTCCGAGGCAGAGGGCAGGCTACTGGCCCTCAGGTGAGTCTTCATCGCTGTCATCCACACTTATTAGTGCCTCCCTGATAAATCCCTCAAAGTCACCATCACTGTCTCTGTCTCTATCACTGGCTTGGGCTGGCTGTGGTGGGTTGCGGGCGAAGAACTCGGTAATGCGTTGCTGACGGCTGGTGTTGATGTTGTCGTGAAACACCTTGATGTAGGGCTCCATAGTCTGCAACAGCTGGGTAGTGAAGACTTCATACCGGTTATCGTCAGAGTCGTCGGAAAGGAGGAGCTTGAGTTTCTCAACACACTCGATGGCACCCCTTACATTACTATGCGATAACTTGCGTTCTTCTTGGGATGACACACCACCTGCCTCTTCACTGACGTCATCATCATCTAGCATCTTGTCGGCAGTCACATCAGGATCCCTTGTCACCTCCAGGGTGTCGTCGTTGGTGGTCTCGGAGAAGCCTGCAGCTGTAACACTCTGCGCAGCTTCTCTGGCAAGGTCCACTGCTACTGCAACAGTCTGAACCTCACCAGTCACAAATTTACTCTGCCTCCCACCTAGAATACCTTGCAACACATGTCTCCATGCGTGACGAACTGTTACTACAGACAGCTGATCCCATGCCTCCACCAAGAAGTCCACAGCTTTCTTGACGTTGAATTTTCTCCAAAATTGTTTCACAAGTACTTCTTGCTCTGCCAACTGTTGTTCCTCATCGTCTTCACTTTTGCTATCGGTGTCACCCAGGTTACGCAACTCATCCTTGGTGTTGGTGTAGTCGTTCAGGAGCTTAGATTTCTTTGCAGAGAATGCAGCTCTCACATTACAGATCAATTCTTGGTCCATGGGCTGTATTAATGACATAGTGTTGGGAGGAAGGAAGACCACTTTTACGTTGGAGTGACGATCCAACAGTAGGGGTGAGTGTCCTGGTGCATTGTCAAGCAGCAACATAATCTTGAATGGAACATTGTGTTGCTCACAGAATTTCTTCACGTCAGGAACGAAACAGTCATCAAACCAGGAGAGGGACAGAGTAGAGAACATCCACGCCTTACGTGCGGTCAGCCAGTGGACATTTAGCTTGGTTCATGTCCATGCTCTTGTAGGCGTGCGGCTTGCGTGCTGTGTGGATCACCGATAACTTGAGCTTACAGGTATCGGAGGCATTGGTGGTAAACAGGACGGTGATGCGCTCCTTCTGCAACTTCCGGCCCCGACACTTGCTGGCATTCTTTTACTTTTACTTTTATCCTCTTCGCCACTGATCGGCTTGTTAGCCGCTTGGGCGATCGGTCACGTCTCTTTTCCTTTATATTCTTCACCAAAAGGTCGGCTCGCTAGCGCCCGGGCGATCGGTCACGTCTCTGTCACGCACTGTTGGCAGGTACTGGGCATGCACCGGCTCCTGAATGTACCTGAACCCGCTCCAGTGTTGGTCAAGTCTTCTCTTGAAAGAGCTCACACTCGGTGCCGTCACAACACTCTCTGGTAGATTGTTCCAAGAGTTTACAACCCTCACTCCGAAAAAGTTTGCCCTCACGGTTTTCCGGACTTGCGGCTTCTTCAATCTTGAGCTGTGACCCCTTGTGGGGCGAGCGTCCGCCAGCTCCAAGTAAGGACACTCAACTGAGTAGTGCCCCCTGAGATGCTTATAAACCTCAACTAGGTCCCCCCTTGCCCGTCTGTAGTATAAGCTAGGCAAGTTCAGGCGCTCCAATCTCTCAGGGTAGCTGAGGTGCCGAAGTGCAGGCACCAGTTTGGTGGCCCTCCTTTGAACATTTTCAACCAACTGACAGTCCCTAGCATATCTCGGGGACCAGATGGGGTGACAGTACTCCAGATGGGGAAGCACTTCACTCCTGAAGATCGTCACGAGGGACGGACCGTCTAGATATCTGAACGACCTTCTTATAAGACCCAATAATTTATTTGCCTGATTTACCTTCTTCTCACAATGGCCCGAGAACTTCAGCTCATTGTCAACATACACACCTAGGTCCTTCTCACACACAGTCTCAACTAGTACATTTTCTTCATCCCGTTGGGACATATGGTACGCCTCCTTACCGTTGGTATGCCCCAGGTGCATCCTCTTACACTTCGTGACATTGAATCTCAGCAGCCATTCCTTCGACCATTCCTGGAGCCCACAGAGGTCCTTCTGCAGCTCTTCACAGTCCGCTTGGTTCTTAATTTCCCGAAATAACTTGGCGTCATCGGCAAACATTTGTATGGAGGAGTGTACAACGTCAGGCATATCATTTATGAAACAAACAAACAACAGCGGGCCCAATACACTACCCTGCGGTACCCCACTTGTTACAGGTACAGATGACGATTTCGTGCCATTAATCACCACACATTGCTTGCGGTCATGTAGAAAGTCTTCTATCCACGCTAGGACATTTCCCCGAATTCCGTACCCTTCCAGTTTGATTTTCAGCCTTTCGTGGGGTACACTGTCGAAAGCCTTGGCAAAATCTAGGTAAATATTGTCGATATTACCACCCCGTTCTAGAATATGGGTCCAAATATCCAATACCTTGAGCAATTGTGTCAAGCAAGAGCGCCCCGGCATAAAACCGTGTTGGCAATCTTTTACAAGGTTGTTTCGTAGTCTAAGGTCTTGGAAGGTAGCTTTTTCCAAAAAAGACCAGATTTGTCCATGTTAAACACCTGGTCGTTGGTGTACTGTCCTTCCTCCATAATCTCACGTAAAAACTGAGGAAATTCCCTAGCCGCAACACGGTCAGCACTAGCTTCTTCACCACCAATGTTAATGTTGGTGATCTTGTTCCTCTTCTTAAATCTCTGCAACCACCCTTAGTATAACTAAAGCTGCCTCCCGAAAGTTGGGAATGCTGTACAGATGCACGCAGCTACTTCACTCCTGAGCAGTTGCTCCAAGTATATAAGGGATTGTAAGAGTGTACCATCGTACGATATGTTTTCCCATGTTGAGTGGGGGGGCTTGTCCTTGGCAGCGCCTGATGGCCAGTGCCCAGCTGACGCTGTTATAATAAAGTCTATAGAAAACATGGTCTATGACTCCAACCTCTCACATGGCGCACAGTGAGTAGGATATGTCGGGGCCCGACACGCCATTACAGCCCTGACAAGAACGCTGACATGGCCCCTACACGTCCACGATTCTCGACGCCCTCAAGGGGACGCCAGGGCTTCTCTACACCGGCCGGGAACACCACGCGCGCCCAGCAGCAGGCCATGAGTGCATTGATGGCTCAGATGGCGTCTCTAGGTGCTGGCGGTGGTCATGCTTCTATGCCGGTCATGAAGCCCTCAGCAGCTGTCGCTCCAGAGAAGTGTGAGGCAGAAATGCCAGCAGCTGCGTTTAGGACATGGAGGCGGTCCATGGAGTCATGGGTGCTGCTGAACGGGTGGCCACAGCTGGTGGCCACACTCCACATTCGCCTGAACTGCGTCCCCGCACTCCAAAGAGTGATTGACTCGAGATACCCCAGCGGTCAGTGGGAGCAGCTCTCGCCCAAAGAAGCCCTGGACGCCATCAGTGGAATGGTTCTTCAATCTTCAAACCAAGCTGTGAAATGGAACGAGTTTTTCAACA